GGATGGTTCTATGCGTACGTGCATTGATTATCGCCATTTGAACAAAGTTATAGTGAAGAACAGGTATCCATTGCCTCGTATTGATGACCTATTTTATCAATTACCGGGTGCCAGAGTGTTTTCCAAAATTGACTTACGTTCGGGCTATCATCAGTTGAAGATTCGGGAGCCAGACATTTTGAAGATTGCTTTTAGGACTCGGTATTGGTCACTACAAGTTCCTTGTGATGTCATTTGGGCTGACCAATGCCCCAATAGCATTCATGCACTTGATGCACAGTGTGTTTCGGCCCTAACTTGACTCTTTCGTCATTGTGTTTATTGACGATATTCTGGTGTACTCCTAAACTCGGGAGGATCATAAGCAGCACCCGAGAACTATGCTCAGACCTTGAGAGAAAGAAGTTATATGTAAAATTTTCGAAGTGTGAGTTTTGGCTAGACTTAGTGGCATTCTTGGGTCATGTATTACCGAGTGATAGGATTAAGGTGGATCCGAAGAAGGTTGAAGCAGTGCAGAGTTAGCCCAAATCGTCCTTAGCTATGGAGATCCAGAGTTTTCTTGGCTTGGCAGCATATTATCGTCGATTTGTTGAGGGTTTCTAATCTATTGCCGCACCTATGACCAGGCTAGCCTAGAAGGGTGGTCCATTCAGGTGGACAGAGGAGTGTGAGGAGAGCTTTCAAAAGCTTAAGACAACTTTGACTACGGCCCCAGTATTGGTATTGCCTACAGGTTTAGGGTCTTATACTGTATATTATGATGCATCGCGGATTGGTCTCGGCGTGGTGTTGATGCAGGATGGTAGGCAGATTGCCTACGTGTCCAGACAACTTAAGGTGCATGAAAAGAACTATTATGTCCATGACCTTGAGTTAGCAACTATTGTTCATGCCTTGAAGATTTAGCAGCACTATTTTATGGTGTCTCTTGTAAGATCTACACCGATCACCGGAGTTTGCACCATCTATTCAAATAGAAGGATCTTAACTTGCGTCAGCAGAGGTGGTCGGAGCTGCTTAAGGATTATGATATTACCATTTTGCACCATCCCAGGAAGGCCAATGTGGTGGCCGATGCTTTGAGTCACAGGCCGAAGAGTTTTGAGAGCTGAACATATCTACCAGTAGTAGAGAGGCCATTGGCGTTGGATGTTCTGACCTTATCCAACCAGTTTGTTAGATTGGATATTTCTGAGTCGAGTCGAGTTTTGGTTTGTGTGGTCTCTCAGTCTTCTCTTTATGATCGGATCATGGAACATCAGTATGATGACCCTCATCTACTTGTCCTTAGGGACACAGTTCAACACGATGATGCTAAGGAGGTCACTATTGGAGATGATGGTTCTTTAAGGATGCAGGTAGGCTATGTGTAACCAATGTAGATAGATTGCATGAGTTGATTCTCCAGGAGGCTCACAGTTCGCGATACTCCATTCATCTGGGTGCTGGTAAGATGGATTAGGACTTGAGGCGGCATTATTGGTGGAGAAAAATGAAGAAGAACATGTGTAGTATGCATCTTGGTGTCTAAATTGCCAGCAGGTGAAGAATGAGCATCAACAGCCAGGTGGATTGCTTCAGAAGCTAGAGATTCTGGAGTGGAAATGGGAGCGAATCACTATGGATTTTGTTGTTGGGCTTCCACAGACTCAGAGGAAGTTTGGTGCAGTTTGGGTGATTGTGGATAGGCTGACCAAGTCAGCTTATTTCATTCATGTGATGACTACTTATTCTTCCAAGAAGTTGGCTCGAGTTTATATCCGCGAGATTGTCAGGCTTCATGGTATGCTAGTATCTATCATCTCTGACCGGGGTACACAGTTTATATCACAGTTCTAGAGGGCTATACAACATGAGTTAGGTACTCAGGTTGAGTTGAGCACTATATTTCACCCTCAGACAGATGGACAGTCCAAGCGCACTATTTAGATATTGGAGGATATGCTCTGTGCGTGTGTAATGGAGTTTGGAGGTTTTTGGGATCAGTTCTTGCCACTTGTGGAGTTTGCCTACAATAACAGTAATTAGTCGAGCATTCAGATGGCACAGTATGAGGCTCTTCATGGTAGGTGGTGTCGGTCTCCAATGGGTTGGTTCGAACCGGGTGAGGCTAGGCTATTGGGTACAGACTTGGTTCAGGATGCTTTGGAGAAGGTTAACGTGATTCAGGATTGACTTCGCACAGCCTAGTCCAGACAGAAGAGTTATGCAGATCGGAAGGTTTGTGATTTTGCATTCATGGTTGGAGAGTGTGTCCTGCTCGGGGTGTCACCCATGAAGGGCGTTATGAGGTTCGGGAAGAAGGGCAAGCTGAGCCCAAGGTTTATTGGCACGTTCGAGGTGTTGCGGCGTGTTGGGGAGGTTTCTTATGAGCTTGTCTTGCCTCCCAGCCTGGTAGGATTCCATCCGGTATTTCATATTTCTATGCTCCAGAAGTATCACTGCGATTCGTCTTATGTGTTGAATTTCAGCTCAATCCAGTTGGATAAGGATTTATCTTATATTGAGGAGCCATTGGCTATTTTGGGCAAGCAGCTTCAAAAACTGAGGTCAAAGAACATTGCTTCCGTTAAGGTTCAGTGGAGGGGTTAACCGGTCGAGGAGGCGACTTGGGAGACCGAGCATGATATGCGCAGCCGTTATCCTCATCTTTCCACCACTTCTGGTATGTCTCTATACTCGTTCGAGGACGAACGATTGTTTTAAGAGGGGGCAGATGTAATGACCCAGTCGTTCGTTTTGAGAGTATTAGCCATGATCCCCTATTTATTTCTTTCCCCGTATTTTTTTCTGCTTATGTGACTTGTCGAGAGGTTTTGTTTTTGGTTTCGAAGTGATTTGGGACACTTAGTCCCTAAAATAGAAGCTTAAGTTCTACGATATTGACCATAGTTGGAACTGTGTGAAGACGACTTTGGAATGGAGTTTCGTCGGTTCAGTTAGCTCCGTTGGGTGATTTTGGACTTAGGAGCGTGTCCGGATTGTGTTTTGAAGGTCTGTAACTAAATTAGGCTTGGAATGGCGAAAGTTGAATTTTTAGGAAGATTGACCGGAAGTGGACTTTTTGATATCGGGGTCAAATTCCGATTCCGAAAGTTGGAGTAGGTCCGTAATATCGAATATGACTTGTGTGAAAAATTTGGGGTCAATCAGACGTAATTTGATAGTTTTCGGCATCGGTTGTAGAAGTTTACAGTTTAAAGTTCATTTAGTTTAAATTGGAGTGTGATTCATGTTTTTGTTGTTGTTTGATGAGATTTAAGGGCTCGACTAAGTTCGTATGATATTTTAGGACTTGTTGGCATGTTTGGTTGAGGTCATGAGGGCCTCGGGTGAGTTCCGGATGGTTAACGGATCAATTTGGACTTAGTGTTACAGCTGAAGTTCCAGGAATATCTTGCGTGTGGCTTCCTTTTACGCGTTCGCGAAGGTTCTCCTGCGTTCGCGTAGAGGAAGTGTGAGTGTTACTGAAATTGGCATTCGCATTCGTGAAGGATGTTCTGCGTTCGCGAGGCACTATAGTCTTAGGCCTACGCGTTCGCGATTGGGCCCTTGCATTGGCGTAGAGGAAGGGGTAGATGGGTCATCAGGCATTTGGCTTATGCGAAAGCGTAGTGGTAAACGCGTTCGCGAAGCAACAAGCTGTGGAAGCTCTGCATTCACGAGAGGTTACTTGCGTTCACGAAGGAGGGATTTTTGGTCGGTGATTATTTGTTCAACACGAACGTGATAATGTGGTTGTTTTCGTGAAGAAGGAAATGCCTGGGCAGGCTATAACATTTCAAAAATGAGGGTTTAGCTATTTTTATCAAAACTTGAGATACAGAGCTGGGATTTAGAAGACATTTTGAGTGATTTTCAGAGGCACCGATTGGGTAGTGATTCTTCACTTGTTTTTGGTTATATTCCACTAATCTATCGTTAATTACATCCTTTAATTTCGGATTTGAGTTGGGAAATTTGAAAAAAAATGGGAAAAAGTTCTTCAACCAAATTTTTGGGTTTTGATTGGGATTTTGACATCGGATTTGAGTAATTTTGGTACGAGTGAACTTGTGGGTGAATGTGTGTTCGTATTTTGTGACTTTTACCCGATTCCTATACGTGAGCCTGGGTCGACTTTTTGGGGCGATTTTCTAATTTCTTGTTAAAGTCTTGATTTCATTAATTAGATTAGTTTCTTATAGTTATATTTATGTTATGTAATTGCTTTTGGCTAGATTTGGGCCATTCGGTGTCGGAAAATTATGGATAAGGCATTCTGACCGATTGATTGAGCTTGGTTCGAGGTTAATGGCTTGCCTAACCTTGTTTGGGGAAAATCCTCTTAGGACTTGGTACTGTTGTGATACTTCTGTGATATGTGAGCGTCATGTACGTGAGGTGACTAGTGCGTACACGGGCTAATTATTGAAAATTTTGGTTTTCACTGAGTAGTAACCTGTTACATCTTAATTGAGTTATATCAACATGTGTAGTTATCCTATTTTAGCCTAATATCGCATGTCTATGTGTCTTAAATGCTTATTTGAAATCTGTACAGCATGCTTAGTTGATTTTCTGTTTTCCTTGATTTGTATCAGTCTTAACAGTAAAATCCTTGCTGTTAATTGTTGTATTCATCGGTTTCGAGCCGTGTGTTTACTTTTGGGTCTACAAGGCGGTACCTACGGAGATCCCCCTGCACATTTACTTTTGGGACTATGATGCGGTACCTCGGGAGATCTCCTTGCATATTTACTTTTGGGGCTACGAGACGGTATCTCGGGAGATCCTTGTTGTTTACCCCTTTGTGTTCTGCTGCTATTTTTCTGTGGTTTGTTTCTTGAAAATTGTCCATTCTCTTATTGCATTGCCATATTCTTCTACCTTATTTATTATATACTAGTAGGACCTTGACCTGACCCAGTCACTACTCGACTGAGGTTAGGCTTGGTACTTACTGGGTACCATTGTGGTGTACTCACGCTACTCTTTTGCACGTGTTTTGTGTACAGATCCAGGTGCTTCTTATCATCCTCGATATTAGTGAGTAGTGAGATTTTGGAGACTTCAAGGTATATCTGCTCTCGTTCGTAGACCTCAGAGTCCCCCTTTATTCCCTCTTATGTCGTTTGCTTTTCCGTACTTTCTTAGACTCTGGTGTATAGAGATACTTAGTTTTTCTTCTATAGCTTGTGACTTATGATTACCGGGGTTTGGGAATACTATGTGTACTCGAGTACTGGGTTACTTGTACATGCTAAGCAGCATTTTATTATTTTATAGTTATCTGTTGCAGTCTAGTTGTTAAATTCTGTTTCTCATTTCTGTTATATCGCAATTTGTTAGGCTTACCTAGTCGTAGAGACAAGGTGCCGTCACGACGTCTTACGGAGGGAGATTTGGGTCGTGACAGGAGTTCCCTCTCTTCAGTGACCTCGATCTTAAAGCTTGGATCTGCAAGGTAGAACAATTTTTCTCTTTAGATGAGGTTGACTATAACCAGAGAGTTAAGATAGCTTCAATACACTTTGATGATACAGCCATTAAGTGTCATCTTGCATACTTGAGAAGTAGATCTCACATGCCTTACCCTAGCTAGGAGGAGTATATTTATGCACTCATATATAGGTTTGAGGCCGAGTATGATGACCCCATATCAGAGCTTAAGCTAGTAAGACAAACTGGAATGGTGGAGGACTAACAGAAGAAGTTTGATAGAATTATGACAAGGTTGTACATCCTTCCTGGGTGTGCTATTAATGCCTTCATCACTGGCCTCACGCCATAGATTGGTTTTATAGTAAAAACCCACCAACTCTATTCACTACCTCAAATTTACCAGTTGGCTAGAAACACTGAGGCTTAGGTGAATGCTCAGTTGAAGATGACTTGGCCTAAATTGTATACTGGAGTCATCTTATACTAAGGGAAACATATATAGATATGCAACAAAGAGGGCATTCCACAAGAATGATGGGAACTTATTAAAAAGGAATGTTGCTGCTAATTGAAACAAGGGGAACACTAGGAAAATCACCACAACTGAGATGAATGAAAAGAGGCAAAAGGGGTTATACTTCTTCAGTGATGAGAAGTTTTTTCCTGGTCACAAATGCGGTAGAGCTAAACAATTGTACTTGTTGGAGGTAGAAGAAAAAGGGCAAAATGAAGAAAAAATAGGAGAATTAGCGGTGATAGAGAAACCTGTAGAAGTGACCGAGGAAATAGGAAATGAAGTAAAAGGTCAAGTATGTGAAATCTCAGTCAATGCTCTATAAGTACCAACCTTCCATAACTTGAGAGTGACTGGCTACTGCGAGAAAAGGCCACTGAGCATTTTGGTCGACCATGGTAGCACACACAACTTTATTAATGAGGAAGTAGCTAGGGAGTTGGGGGTCACAAGAATGAGGATTAATCCTTAAACCATGAATGTGACTGATGGCAACAATAGGCAAACTGATGAGGTCTGTAAATAGTCTTGGTTATTGCAAGGGGTTACCTATACAACAGATTTTTTACTGCTCTTTCTAGGTTCTTATGACATAATCTTAGGTGTGCAGTGGTTGCTTCCATTATGGGATCTTAATTAGAACTTCAGGGAGCTAACCTTGGGATTTAGTTATCAAGGACGAGAATGTGTTTTGAAAGGAGAAGTGGAGAAAATCAAAACTATGGAAGCCAAGAAACTAGATAAGTTGGCTAACAATGTGGGACAATTGTTTATGCTTAGGGTGCTAATACCCAGGGAAGAGGAGCAGACAGAGATTGATCTTACCATGCCTTTACATATTCAATCACTCACTGAGGAATACCACAAACTATTTACCGACCCTCAAGGATTACCTCAATCTAGGGGGCTATTTGATCACAAGACTCCTTGGCAGTAGAGTACGATGTTGTTAACCTCAGACCTTACAGTATTCTTCACGACAAAATGATATAATTGAGAGGTTGATACAAGATATGTTGGATCAAGGGATTATGCAGCCAAGCTCCAACCCCTATGCTTCTCTAGTAGTCTTGGTAAGGAAAAAGGATAGAAGTTGGAGGCTATGTGTTGACTATAGGGGCCTAAATAAGGTTACAATCAAAGATAAGTTCCCTATCCCAATTATTGAGGAATTACTTGATGAGTTAGGTGGATCACAATTTTACTCAAAGATAGAACTCATGCCTGGTTACCACCAGATTAAGATGGTAACAGAAGATGTAGCTAAGATAGCTTTCAGAACCCACTCAGGATATTATGAGTATTTGGTAATGCCTTTTGGGATCACCAATGCTCCTTCTTATTTCTAGAGTTTGATAAACAATGTGTTCAAAGAGCGCCTTAGTTTATTTTGGTGTTATTTTATGATATTTTGATGTTTAGCAAAAATCTGTTTGAACACTTGGTACATCTTAGGATGAACTTTGAGTTGCTAGTAAAACACAAGTTGTTTGCCAGGAAGTCTAATTGTTCTTTGGGGCTAGCAAAATTGAGTACTTGGGGCATATAATATCTGGTGAAGGGGTAGCCACTAATCCTAAGAAGATTGCAACAGTGCACTCTTGGCCAATACCAAGGAATGTCACGGAGTTAAGAGGCTTTCTAGGATTGACAAGTAACTATAGAAGGTTCATCAGACAATATGGGGTAACTAGTAGACCATTGACAGAGTTACTCAAAAAGGATAGGTTCCAGTGGACAAGCAAGGCAGATGAGGCATTTGGCAAGTTGAAAGATGCCCTTACTTCAGCACTTGTTGGCACTACCAAACAATCTATTTATGTTTGTGGTAGAAACTGATACATGTGACTATAGCAGTGGGGTTGTTTTGATGCAAGACGGCCATCATATAACTTATCTCAGGAAAGGTCTATCAGGAAGGCATCATGCCTTTTCAGTTTATAAGAAGGAGTTGTTAGCTCTTGTTATGGTTGTTACTATGTGGGCACAATACTTATTGGGGAGACATTTTGTAGTGAGAACTGATCAAAAAGTATTGAAGTTCTTATTGGATCAAAATCTCCTCACTGGATCTCAAATGAAGTGGATAGCCAAACATATGCATTTGATTTTGTGATAGATACAAAAAGGGAAGAGAGAAAAAGACAGCTGACTCCCTATCCAAAGTTCTTTAAGGAGAGTTAGCCATGGTTTTATTGACCCTAGCTAACTATGATATCTTCCAGAAAATTAAGGATATTTGGGTAAAATATACATGGGCTACAAAGATCATAGCTCACATCCAAGAATAAGGAGAGAGACAAAAGGGATACATTTTTGTAAACCAACAACTAAGAAGAAATGGCAAGCTGGTTGTGGGGAATGACACTTTCTTGAAGCAAGAAATCATTCAAACATGGTATGAAACACCTGCAGGAGGTCACTCCATAATAGAGAACACTTACAAAGTGTATCTAGTCTCTTCTACTGGAAGGGGCTCAAGAAAGACATAACAGTCTATGTGAGAAAATGTGCTACCTGTCAAAGAAGCAAGTATGATAGAAGTGCTTACCCAGGGTTGCTACAACCTTTGCAAATTCCTAACACTGCTTGGTCCAGCATTTGTATGGTTTTCATATATGGACTTCCAAAAATCTAAAGGCAAGACAACCATATTGGCAGTGGCGGATAGACTTACAAAGTGTGGCCACTTCTTGGCCATAAGTCACTCCTACTCTGCCACCTATGTGCGAGAAAACATTATTAGTGATAGGGATCCAGTGTTTGTCCACAATATACAGCAGGATCTTTTTGTTATGCAAAGCGTAACACTCAGTACTGCTACAGCTTATCATCCCCAAACAAATGGCAAACAGAGGTACTCAATAGAACTATGGAGACTTAAGATATTTTTGTTCGGATAACCAGCATAATTGGGCTGCTTACTTATCACTGGCAGAATGGTGGTACAATACATCGAAGACTCACTATAAGGGAGCTGAAGATCCAATTGCTCAAATTTCACATTCACAGGGCACAACTAAGAATGGTAGCTATGAACAAACATATAACCGACAGACAATTCAATGAAGGGGATTGGTTTTATCTAAAATTTCAACCTTATATGCAAATTACCCTCTCTAAATTCTTTCTCTAAGCTCTCAGCCAAGTATTATGGCCCTTACCAGATTATATGAAAAATTGGTCCAATTGCTTACAAACTATCACTTCCCTCCCATGTTGTTATCCACCCCACCTTCCATGTCTCCAGTTTAAACCATGATATGACATCCCTGCTCAATTCAATCACCCTTCAGTTGTTGTTATCACCAGCCCCTACTATGTGGAACCCCAAGAAATTCTGGACAGAAGGATGATAAAACGAGGGAACAAGGCAGTCCCTCAAATTTTGGTACTATGGTCAAAAATACTGAAGGAGCAAGCTACCCGGGAAGATTATTCAACTATGAAGCTGAAGTTTCCTTTTTTCCTTCCTTGAGGACAAGAAGGTTCTGCAAGGGAAGGGCTGATGCCAGAATGAATTGCTAGGAAAAAGAAATGCAACTACTTTGCTTGAGGAGATAGTACCTAAGGATTGCGGAATATTACCAGACCGTTAGAATTCATTGGGGTCTATTTAAATTGAAAATTTCTTTTGTTACATTTTAGTCCACTGAGGTTTATGTTTTATATTTATATCATAGTCACATTAAGTTTGTAATTTCTGTACGATGGGCATTTTTGGTCCTCGATAGTACTGACAACAGAGGAGGGTACGAGCCTTATCTCTTAGTAATGAACCTGGGGAATATTCCTCTATATATTTTGTAATTCCTTGCATTTTGCAGATTATTATCTATGAAAATATCACTAACTTAACCCCTAGAATAGTTTTAGCCTAGATTTTCAAACTTTTCTTCCGCTTTTATTTACTGTTCCATTGATCTTGCATCAAGATAGAAAAATAAAGAACGATGGAGAAGCTCCGTTTCCGACCAGATTCTGTATATCTGGCCACGATTCGACCATTCTTCGACATGTTTCCTCCAGATTTGATTGTCTGGCAATGGCAAAGGAGCGACTTTCGCCAGCCGGCCGACATGGAGTTGTCCGACGGCCAGTGATTTTGAGGGGTTATTTCGGTGGATTTTAATGGAGGAAAACACTTACAACGGGGAAGATGACTAAAAGTGAGGTTGGGGTAGAGGTGAGATGCGTTGGAGAGGGGATACTTTGACTCTTTTTTTTAAGAAAAAATATTAATTAGGATGGTAAAAATGTATTTTAATTTTCTTGAGTTATAATATGTGCCATCACTTTATTGGTGTGTGATATCACACAAACTTTGACAAACCGGTCAAGAAGAAAGTGTCGTATCTTAACTATACTTATGAAAGGTTGAGTGTGTTAGATAATTTTTGTCGACATAACAGGAATTTGGTCCATAGTTCAGGGGTAACTTATGTATTTTTGATGAGGTTTATTGTCCCAATCAAAAGGTTAAGAGGGTATTGTTTCCAAAATATAGGTTAAGGAAGTTTAGTGAAATTTACTCTAAAATCTATATATATATAGTTATTATCTATTTTTAGATAAAGTTCTAAATATGAATTTAAATTAAAAAAAATTATCTTTTTTTATCATGTTAGGAACTTTTATTATTTTTTCTAATTATTTAGATACTACTTCGCCTCTAGCAAAAAAAAAAAAAAACTACTTCGTATAACTATAAAACTCTTTCATATTTAAAATACTATAAGTATAGTTCTTTGAAACACTGTAGCTGGATTTGAATAAAACGAAATTTTTTTAAAACAAATGTAATATATAGGGCACACATCTATGTTTATAGGGTACACATCTATGTTTATCTAAATAACAAAAAAGAGTTTATAAAACTAAATAAAGTTTATTTACATATATGATAAAGTAAAAATACATGCTGGAGAAAGAAACATCACAAAATCAGTCAATATTAAAAAAAATTATTTCTTTTTTCTTCTTGAAGAATATTTGTTTGAAGAGTCAATTTGCATAAATGGACATCAAACAAATAACAAAACTTTGGCTATACAAGTGCTATATTAATTTCAATTTAGCACATTCAAGGAATTGAAGGGTATAAGCTGAAACCCCTTCATTTAGCTGTAGTCAGGCCAATATTGCAAGTGTATAATATTTTTTCGTTGAAGAATATTAGTTTTGAATCATTAGATTATGTGAAAGACAAACTCAACAAGAGAGAAATTGGTTTCTAGTTGATAGTTTCTAATGCGACTTCTAAGTGTAACAAGAGTATATATAAAGAAAAAATTGATATGACGTGAAATATTTTTTAAAAACTGTAAAAAAAATAATTCGAAAAAACTCTTTACCTTTTTTAATTCAAAGATAATAAAAAGATAAAATATTTTTGAACATTAGTAGAGAGTTTTAAAATTATTATAATAGAAGTTATATCATGGATAAACTCAAAAAACCTAAATCTTATGGAATATTCACATAATATCCGGCCATATTTATTGTTTATATTTTATAGCTAATATAAATAGACGATATACCGATAACATACGATTATACACATATTATATATGAATTATATATAAATTACACATCATTCAATTTTTTAATTTAAGTGGTCGGGTGAGCACCTATTTAGGCTGATTAGATAAAACCAAAAGAAAAATATGAAATAATTTCAACCAGATACTAAAAATATAATTAAAGTTAATATGTAGATAATTTTTATTAAAACTCATCCTTTTATAGTGAAATAAATTAATTTTTGTAACAAAAGAAATAATGACATAAAAAATAAGATAAAAGAAAATACATACTGAAAAAAATGTTAGAAAGATCTAAAAACGAGAAATAAAAGATGACAACAAATTTCTTCTTATGTTTCATCTTTGTTGAGTATAAAAATTTGAAAGTTAATCTCATCAATTTCAAATATATTTTTTTCAACGCAAATACATAGATTATAAGATAAGGATATCTTAGAATATTTTTTTAATTTACATTATGTCTCGTTTTTAAAAAATCACTATTACTAACAAACTGATATGATATTCGAATTTGAATTGGAATGCAATTTGAGTTGTTTGCATTGAGGTTAAGCCAAATATAGTGTCAAAAAATAAACTACTTGACAATTTTAAGACAATATATGCAATATTTTATAATAATAATCAATAAATTTAACATTTAATGATTCAAAGAACGATTTTTTTGTATATATAGAGTATTAAAAATTCAAATTCTGGGGTTAGAGATATCGATAAATTTAAAGTGGAGTCATACTGAAATAAATCCGGCCAAAGAATCATTTAANTACTTCGTAATCAAAGAATCGTTTATATCGTGTCAACCTTTGTGTTTTACCATAAATATGAGTTATTATTTCACTTTATGACTATTTTTAGGTTCCAATGATACATATGAGAATAGTGCAAAAATAAAATTATCACTACGAGAATTGAAATAATTTTAGTCTTTTTTCATGTAGTGTTTCTTAATTAATATCTGACAATTATCTATAATCATTTAGAAGGTTTAAATGTTAAGGTTATTTACATATAATTCAAATAACCAAATATTTAACATGGTTAATGTCAAATATCAAAATGGAGTAAAAAAATTCACTAGCTAATGAATTTTTTATATTTTTAGATAGCAAACTAAAATGAGTTTTGAATTAAGAATAATATTTTCAATTACATTATTATAAAAATAATTATTATTGAAAAATTATGTTTTAGAAACTGAAATTTTAAGAAAGAAATATTTTTTAAGAGATATCAACACACCAAATAAGAGTTCAAGTAGTAGTAAAAGAGTTAACTCTTATCCAAAGAGTCATTCATTGTCTCGACATTTGATTGTTTTGACTTAAATATGAGTTATTATTTTACTTCCTGACTATTTTTAGGATCCAATGACACCGGCAAGAATGGTATCAAAAAAGAAAAATATAAGAAATGGTTAATTTTTCATGTAATTAATATCCAATGATTATCTATATTTACTGAGAAAGTGTAAATTTTAAAATTATTTACATACAATCCAAATAACTTAAATATTTGACATGATTAGTGTCCGCGCATCCGCGCGGGTGCTAATACTAGTATCGAAATGAAAGTAAACAACTGCTCCGCCTAGCCTATCTCCAGGCCGGATTCTAGCATAACCCCTATTTCCTATGCTTGGTTCCACAATCAATCTCTGATCCTATACGAGGAAAAAAATAAAAATAAACTAAACGCATCTAATTCTGTTGTCGTATTGTTGGTTGTACGGCATGCAATTATTCCTTTATTTGTTTGACTATAAAAAAAAAGTTATTAATGCAGATTACTAAGAAAAATGTCAAAAAAAAGGTATGTTGCCCTGTTATTTGTGTCATAAAGTTAACAGCTTCTCTTAACCATACACACTATTATGTAACAAATAATGTTGATTGAAAATATGAACTAATGTATTTTGATTTGACTAGCTAAATAACATCACATATCACGCCAAATAGCCAACTAAGGCACATTACTAATGTAAAAATTTCAAGATCACAAATAGTACTAAAAGAAGAGTGGAGAGACTTCTTGTACTACAATTCCACAGTAGTACAAAATCACAAGATTCCCTTTGAAACATTACACAACATGTGTTGCATCCATCAAAGGATACAACCATGGAAAAAGACGTAAGTACCCTTCCAAAAAGATAATTATATTGTTATCTTTGTACATAGGAGAGTCATAATTTCCGGAGCCTGTGGTTATAAGAAAAGTGGTTTCTTTAGAAAAAACCAAAACATGGTTATAAAAAAATAGGAAGTTGGAAAAAACTCCAAATTTATTCTTGGACTATTTGAAATTGAGTAAATTTGTCCCCTGTTAAAATTTTGATCTTAATATTACCCTACCAGTTAGTACAACGTCTCATTTTTGCCCCACCCGGTAGGGCTCAAGGACAAAATTGAAACTTTTTCTAACGACAAGGATAATATTAGACTAAAAATTTAACGGAGCAAAAAAGTTCCTCAATTTTGGAAAGTACATGGGTAAATTTGACCATTTTCTCTCAAAAGTTTGATAGTATCCTAATATGTTGGCCTTCCTTGAAATGGAACAACAGAAAGGTTTATCTATATTTCCAAGACGATAACTGCAAAATGAAAAAAAAATAAGCTCTCGTTAGCTAGAGTTAAGCTAAATTTTGGTTTTTTTTCTTAGATATAAAAATTATTGAATGTTGCTTACAATCAGAATCGGTCTTCACCCATTTAGATCCATCATTACAGGTTTTCTCTCGTTTTTTCTCTTCTTGCTCTTTCTTTTGTGGATATTTATCCTCTAAATATCTCTTTGTCGATGTCCGAGACGCATTTTGAGAGTTTATTTTCTTGGAAAGTATTGTCCTCAAAAGCTGCAATAGTAAGATGCAATTGTTAATAACACAAGATAAATTTGTTAAAGAAAAATTAGTGGTGAATATAGTTAAGAAGGTATAGCTGATTCAATATTTTTGACACGAAACTTGATTATGCATAGTTTTAATAAATACTACATTTAACCAAATTTTATGCAAAATAAGAACTAGTGAGACTCCCATCTAGTATAAACAATTAGAGGATTTCAATCGATCCTGACCCCATAAGCGGGATCAAACATATTGCTATTAGAAGCAAAACCACGTATTTCTTTTAGAGAAACATTTCACAATATGAGTCTAGCTAATTAATACATTCTAGAGAACTCGGAATGAATATTAATATGATTTCAAGATCTATGAAAACAAAATTAGAAGAAAAAAAGATTAATTGAATCCATAATTTGATCCGGTGGCAAAAACATAAATACTGAACCTATAAAGTTAAAATCTTCGATCCGGCTATATATGAGAAGAACATAAAAGAAGTTGCAAAAACCTTAACAAGGATAGGAAATAAAAATTAATAGAAATATATTTATACCTTTTCCATTCTTGATTCCTGAAATGTGTCTCGTAAACTAGGAGCTGGACCAAAATTACCACTTGCACAAACGAACATTTTCTTGAGAAGAAAAGAAATAGATTTCTTCCCAATTTTGTTGTGCTTACTACAGACATCTTTGCATCTTCCTATAATCACTCTTATAGTTCTGTCAATTTCTTCCTCGTCATAATCAAAATTGTCTGAGTTAGTACTGCTTAATCTGCTGGAACTAATCCTACGATCAACCTCCAAACTTGATGGACAATTAAGAAATCTGTCCAATGGAAGAATATCATCAGCATTATTAGCAGCCGGTTTTCGGGATAATAATTTTGTTAATTCTTTTTGTAATTTGCCAACTTCTTCAGGTGTGAACTCTGCTAAATCTGGTGAATTCTCTAGGAGATGATCATTTTGTACGTGTAATTGGCTCTGTTTGAAATCACTGCTCTTATTGCCAAAAGTTCCAATTGTCAATAATGAATATGGCCAATCTGTGAACTCTTCATTTGTTTGATCTGTGACCAAAAATTAAACAGTCAATCTAACAACTTAAAGAGACAGTCCAGCATTTTCTCAAATTTCGAAAATTTATTGTCTACTTTTAATTAAGGTATAATGTAGTATTTGAGGAAATTAGAATGCATTCCCCTGTAAAAGATGGTCAGTTGAACACCATTTGAAGGAAAAATGTATTGTATACTTGAGTCAAATATTACTTTCTCATACAAGTATATTAAAACTTAAACACCTTAACTAAATTTCTGGCTTTGCCATTATAGTCACTACACGTGTAAATAATGCGTTAGTTTCTTATATCGACCTTTCCAAAACCGGCCCTTATCCTTCCCCATAAATGTTTTGAGGGAAAAAAAAATTCTTTAACTTACTTCTAATATAACTTCTGTGGTAAATGAGAATAGCAATGTCAATAAAATCCAGTGAAATCCCATAAATGAGGTGTGAGGCTGATAGTGTATATGCAATTGGTAATAGACCCTCGGTTCAATGAACGATGAAAAGAAACAGTAACAACAACAACATACTAAGAAAACCGAAGTAAAAGATAATAAGAGAACAACATGTATTAGTAATAGCAATCTAGGAATAAGGAAAATACCAAACTAACACTTAATACTACTGGTATGGAAAAGAAAAGAAAAATGCTCGACTACCTACTAACTACTATAGTTTGCATGCATGTCCTAGGAAAAGCTGCACCAAGAGAATGGAGTTTGGTTTTGCTAATAAGAGAAGAGGAAGAAGGCTTACTTGTGGTTGGAACTGCATTACATTTTCTGCTTCCTTGTCCCCCATTTAACTTATTATGCATCCAGTTTAAGAACTGCAAACCAAAACCGAGTAAATTTATCAACCTAGCAATATACAACTTTAGAATAATTGCTGCAACTTTCATACTAATTTAACCAACCTTCATATCCAGAAATGAATCTGCTATTGACGTTTGAGAAGTTGGTAATTGGACAGTAGAAGAAAGCTGATAAGTCAATGAGAAAGGAACTTTAGAAGTAGTAATAAATAAAGATTGGTGTAAGTTTGTCACTCTCTATTAGTATTCTTGAGTCAACTATTAGTAGTATCAAAACATAGACCTATTAGTTTCTATTACTAGCCCAAGACATTTTCTTCTCTTTTTATATGGACAAAAGTGAAACATGCAAATTTGCCTATGTAGAATAAAGATAATGCACACATTGAGGAGTAATGTGCGCGCACAGTATAGTACTTGAGTGACCACACTGTTGAAAGAGGAATGCGTGGCTATGCTTTCTTCCATTAGATTAATGCTAATCTTTAGGCATCTTTCTAGCTTCTAAGTATGGATTTAATTTAACTAATTATATACACTGATAGTGGAAAGAGGAGCCTTGGTATAACTGGTAAAGTTGATGTCGTGTGACCAGAAGGTCACGGGTGTAGCAGCTTAATACACTACTTTTTATATACACCGATAGTGTAAAGAACGTCCACGCTATTGCTATATTTTAACCTGTTGTAGTATATTATTTAATTTGTCTCATTTTCCGGGTTACTAAAGCCATTTACCGATGATATTTACTCTTACTTATCGTTTAGGTGAGCCTAAACATTCTTTTACATTATCAGTGTGTGAATGAGGAGAATCAATCTCAAAGAAAACATTTGTTATCCAACGGTTGTTGTGACGCCACGACTTGTATGACTATCCCTCCTAATGACATCAAACAAATATCTCCAACTTAATGAATACGCATTAGTAGTACTGTAGTATCTATAAGTTTGCTTTCAAATCTCATTCTTGAATTTTATTTTCTTATTCTGTTATCCACCGTGGGTTAAGAGCTAATTAATTAAATAACCAACAACTCGCTTATTTTTTTTCTTTCTTTTGTTCTTTTAGGGGGTAAATATATTTTGTTATCCTTAATACTTTCCTTCCACTTATCAGCAAAGGCATTAACATTCTGATTAATTATCATTAGTGGTCTAACCACGCCAGGAATAAAAGAGAATCCATTCAGAATTACATCAGATATAGTCTGCTTTTTTAGGCATCCTTTAAATTACGTTTTATATGACACTGTCATATTTAGGGCCCGTTTGGCTTTCACTTTTTTTCCGACAATAGTGTTTGGCCATAAATTTAATTTTCACTTGAAGATGAATTTCGAAATTTTTCAAAGATTTGAAAAACTCCAAATGCTTTTTTTTTCAAAAAATTTACTTCAGATCACTCACAAAAATTCAAAAAAAGCCCAAAATTATATTCATGTCCAAACACACCTCTAATTTTCAAATACCATTTTCATTTTTACAATTCTTCTGTCCAAACGCTCACTTAATTTATTTCAAAAAAAAAAATGACAACTTCTGTACTTGGAAACTCTTTAATTATAAATTTTATATTTTACCGTTAACGACATGATATGCGTAAATATTCTTTCCTTTTCTCCAATAAGTTGTGTACCGACCAGAGCCACAAAAAAGGGCCAGTCGGTAAGAGACATAGTGACTGAGGGATGTTTGGTTGTCAAAGAGCAGTTGGACACAAGTAATTTTTATGGATATGAATGATCTTTTGAAGTTCAATTAGCACTTATTGAGATATGAGAAACCCATCATTCTTTTCCAAAGGAGTTTGGCCTTTTCTCTTTGGGCTCTAGCTAAATAACTAGCCAAAGTAGAAAAATTTAAAAAAGATTCTTCTACAATATGGCCACTGAAATAAAAGTAGAAATAAAATACTGTACTGTGTCCCCCCNTCCGCATTGGGGCCCGATTAAATCTGGATTCACGCTGAAAAGTCTTATATTTGGGGGTACTCGAACCTGAGACCTCTAATTAAGAATGAAGGAGTACTTACTACTGCACCACAACTCTTGTTGGTAATAATTCACTTCATTTGTAATAGAATATGCTCCAAGCCTCTTATAATCAACATAGGAGTATTAGTTAATTACCATCACATGTTCTCCGAAAACTATAGCTTATTTAAGACCATAAAAATATATTTTTCTTTTCTTAAACTCCATTCTCAATCAAAGTGCACGCATAAATTTGGACGAATAGTGTAACAAATAAATACAATGTGTTGCTTTTAAGCTGGTTTGGTAAAATTTTAAGTTAACCCAAGAATGCTCTTTATTATTCCCTCCAGTCCACTTTAATTGATTTTTTACTGTTTTCACACATAGTAAGGAATTTATCTTTTAGCATTAATTAATAATGAAATTGACCATATTAATCTTAATTTGTTCATTAAAATTATAACAAATACTCTGAGGTTCTTTACTCCAAGAATAAACTTGAAAAAAAGAAGTTAATTCTTTTCTTGATATCTCAAAAAAATAATATTGTGGACCATAAAAAATTCCAAAAGATCAATTAAAGTGGACCAGAGGGAGTAACAAGTAATCCATGATCAATGTAGTGAATCACAAAAACTTAAAACCCGAAAATATATATATGTATGCTCGAGAATCATTGTATTTTGGTCTTCGAATGGACCAATTTGTGGATGAGTGTGTTAGGCAAACAAACTGAAGAAATTAGGGAAAGGAAAAAAGAAGAGAGAGGAGAGAGGAGAGGGGGGCCGGAGGGGAAGAAATCATTTAATTGAAGGCACTAATAAAGGGATGGAAGCCTTTTAAAAAGGAATTTATATAATTTGTAAGAAAAATCTAAATATTTATTAAAAATTATAAAATCTTAATAAATAGGTAAATAAATTTCTATTATTGTATATATATAAAAAAAATCCCGGAAAAATATAGGTACGGACAGGAGCCAAGAAGGGCTCAATGTTGGAATTAGTGAAAAGGTATCTCCCAGAAAAGGAGGTAAACTTCAGTAGGCCCATATGTTTATACACGTGCCAAGCCCAATTGCATCACTCATTTCGTCATTTTTTTGTTTTATATAAAATGTCTACGAAAAATATTAATAATTGATAATCTGATTAAAATAATAATTAACCTACTACTTGATAATCCATCTACCATTTGATGTCATTTTAATATAATTGAAATCTATTCAGTGTATTAAATACTAAAGTATTTCATGCTCCGGACAGAGCCTGAAGGGCTAACTATCGCTTCAAAAAAAGTTTGGAAAAACAAGTTAAATTCTTTTTTGATTTTTGAAAAAAAATTAAATATTATGTACTACAAAAAAAGGCGAAACAATCAATTAAAATGGACTGGAAAAAGTAATAAGTAATCCGTAATAAATGTCGTGAATCTTGATAATTCACAATTAGCGATTTAAATTTTTGAATTCGTTTAAGCACCTAATAAATCCTCTCCAAGAAATAAGAAATAAAAGAAAAAAAAAGAGAAGAGAAACCTTGGCGTAATTGATAAAGTTGTTGACATGTAATCAGGAGGTCACAGGTTCAAGTCGTGGAAACAACCTCTTGCAGAAATATAGGATAAGATTGCATACGATAAATCGTGATAATCCGGCTCTTCCCTAAACTCCGCACATAACAAAAGCTTAGTGCATCGGACTACCATTCAAGAAATTAAAAAAGAAAAGGACCACATAGAGAACGTGGAGATAGAACCGCACAAGTAGCAACAAATATAAAGCTCATTGATTATGTCAGATTGACACGTGTATGAAGTCGAGGTTTAGTTGACTTGTCTTTCATCCATTGACTAGAGTATAATATTTGAAATGATTGGATTTCAAGTTTCAATAATATGCACAGTAATTTGCTCTTAAAGAATTAGTGGTGATGATTAACCCTCTCTTTGATGTCCATCTTTTAAACCATATGTACGCTTAGTTCATGAAGTTTCTACGAGGAGACAATTAGCATGTGATCATATGCCATCTTCACTCTAGATAGATCTATCTTGGCTCATAATACACTTAAGGGTCGTTTAGTAGGATTAGGAAAAATAACATATATATTAGTTTTGATATTATTAATCTTTTATTTAATAATATTTTTCGACTTATGTATAACTAATACATCTAATAAGTATATACCATATTCAGTGCTATTCTTATACGTAGCAAATCATGGCATTAGCAATACTAGGGGCGGACCTAGAGTACAGAATACGGGTTTCCGAGAACTCAGTAACTTTTGCGTAGACCCTGTATTTATATTAAGAAATTCACTAAATATTTATAAATATCTAACTGTGAACCCGGTTATTATTGCATATTAATTAAAATTACGGTAGAAACTCATAAACCTCAAATCCTAGATCCGTCTCTAACTGCAATACCATGATTTTTAATATATGGACAAGCATATATAACGATGGAACTGTCCTTTCAAAACCTTTTCCAAAGAATATGGAACACATATTTGTAACAAACAATTTAAAAAAAAAAAATTATGCCATACATATTATTTTTAATACACTAAGCCAAACAATCTATAAGAAATAATCTCAGTATAACTAATCTTATTATTACTAATACACTCTATTCAGTACTATTCTTATAGACCTACCAAACGACTCTTTATATTCTTTAAGTCAGAGAGTTCAAATCACTAGTGACTGAGCCATGACTTTCACTAAAGTCAAAATATAAATAATAGAAAAACATGCAAAAAAACTGTTTAAGGGAATTCAATGTGAGAAATACCACAACACAAGTACTTTTATTTTTGGTATAGACACATGTGTTGCCAAGTTAGGAATCTTTACAAGTTAACCAATGGGGAGTTGAAGTAAGTAATCAAATATATATAATAAGAACTCTTTGACGTCATGAAGTTCGTCATTGAAAGATTTTTAGACCACAAAATGCTTAAAAAATTAATTGCAACAACTCAATTAGGATTAAACAAAGAAGGAAAATAGTATTTTATCCGGTCCACAATAAGTGATTTTTTGATTTTTTTTTTTGTGATTCAAAATACTTGATTTTTTCAGATTTCAAGAATGAATGAATTAATTGTTTCCTACATTGCCCTTGGAGTAAATAGTGTTTGAATATGTGTTAGGAGTATTTATATGAAGAGATAGTAAAGGTTAATATGGTTAATTTTATTGCTAATTAATGTTAAAAGTTAAATTTCTTAATTTGTGTGAAAACAATTAATAAAAAATTATTTATTGTTGTGAACCGGAAGGAGTAAGAATCACCGTCATAAAATTTGCTTAGAAGCTTTTTTTACCTC